TAAGCAGTATGTGCTGACTGCCCTGGCTGCCCGTGCCAAGCTGCGGGCTTGGGGTGATGTGGATGCCCTCCTCACCACCAAGGTGAGCTGCAGAGAGCCTTGCTGGGGACACAGTCCCAAGTACTGGTGTCTGCTACTGATAGCTGGCTTGTTCTGGAGTTACTGGACAGACTGGTTTTATTCCAGCAAGGCCCAGCACCTCTGCTGCAGGGTGTTGCAATACTTTGCTCCTCTCCCTGCCCAAGACCTCTGCTGGGCTGGCTTGGCTGCAGCAATAAGGTCAGAGAAGGGGGCTGTCTCTGAGTTCTGTTACCAAAGGGATTGCAGCCAGCCCGTGCCCAGCCCCTGCACGAAGGGCTCTGCCGTGGGGTGCGTGTGGTGGCTGTGGATTACATTGCTGGCACTGGGAGAAAAAACACATTTTCTTGTAGCTGGAGGGATTGTCCTTTTGAGTTGACATAGGTTTGGTTCTCATTTCAGAACTGGCTGGGTTACACCAAGAAGAAGGCACCTATTGGCTTCCACCGGGTGGTGGAGATCTTGCAGAGGAACAATGCTCCCGTGCAGGTGAGCCAGGAACCCCTGCTTATGTTCTGCTCTTTTTTGGGATTTGGTGTATGAGTGACTCCTCAGGTGGGCTGCTTCCTAGCTGGAAGTGAGAGAAGCTTGCTGATCTTCTGACTCCACCAGGTGGGTGCAGCACTCTGCTGAGCAGCCCATGCATCAACAAAAGGTATGGGTGGTATTGAGGGCTGGGTCCTAGCTCTGACTGCAGGAGGGACAGCTGTGGGGCTGTGACCAATGACTGTGTTGTGCTCCAGGTTTTTCAATACCTCCCAGAATAATCTTCTCCATAATTTTACCATGCACTGAAATGAAATATCATAAAAGGAAATTGGATTTGACAAGGTAACCCACTTGGTTGATCAAGGGAAGCCACTCTATGTAGTGTTTTTGGATTTCAGTAAAGCTTTTGATGTCTCTCGGAGTATCCTTCTGGCCAAAATGTCCGGCACATAGCTGGATAAACAAATGATGAGATGGGTGAGCGTCTGGTTCATGGGTTGGGCATAAAGGATTACAGTGAATAGGGTGACATCAGACTGGTGACTGGTCACTAGTGGGGTTTCACAGGGCTCCATCCTCTGCCCTGTGCTCTTCAACATTTTCATAAATTATTTGGATGCATGACTGGAAGGGATACTAAGCAAGTTCATAGATGATCCAAAACTGGGTGGAGTTGTTGACTCCCTAGAAGTCAAGGAGGCTCTGTAGAGAGACCTCAACAAATTAGAGGGCTGGACAACCATCAAAATTAAGTGGAGTTCAGCAAGGGATGGATTCTGCATCTGGCATGTATAGATAGAATGAGAGGTTGGAGAGCAGCACCATAGATTCTGGTCACTGGCAAGTTGAACATGAGCCAGCAGTGCTCTGGCAGCCAGGAGAGCCAACGCTGTCCTGGGGGGCATCAGACACAGCATGGCCAGCTGGGTAAGGGAGGGGAGTGTTCTGCTCTGCTCTGCTCTGCTCTGCTCTGGGGTAGCCTCACCTTGAGTGCTGGGGGCAGTTTTGGGCACCACAGTTTAAGAAAGTTATAAAGCTATTAGAGACTGTGCAAAGGAGGGCCATGAACATAGTGAAGAGCCTTGAGAGAAAGCTGTATGAGGAGCAGCTGAGATTACTTGGTCTATTCAGCCTGGAGAAGAAGAGCCTGAGGGAAAACCACATTGCAGTTTACAACTTCTTTGTGAGGGGAAGAGGAGGGGGGGACCAGTGACAGGACCCAGGGAGTGGCCTGAAATTGTGTCAGGGAAGGTTTAGGTTGGATATTGGAAAGACGTTCTTTACCCAAAGGGTGATTGGGCACTGGAAAAGGCTCCCCATGGAACTGGTCACAGAATAAAGCCTGACAGAATTCAAGAAACATTTGGACAATGCTTTCAGGCACGTGTTCTGACCCTTGTGAATGCTGCTGTGCTGGGACAGGGGGTGGATTCTATGATCCTTGTGGGTCCCTTCTAACTTGGCTTATTCTGTGATTCTGAGTTTTGTAAGCAAAGCTTCTGGGATCCTGAACAGTCTTGTTGAGGTCACTTGTTCCCCAAGGAAGGGGCCAAGTCTGTGTGACCAGCAGCCTTGAAATATTTTGAGACTGGGGTGAGGAAATGAGATGGGATATACCTGTAGAAGGGAGCTGAGACATTCTTCTGTCTCTCACAGGTGCTGCAGGAATATGTGCGCCTGGTGGAAGATGTAGAGACCCGGCTGAACCTCGCTACCAAATACAAGTGCCATGATGTTGTCATAGAGGTAGACTGCTGCCTTGTGAAGAGATGGGTCACAGGCCTGCTTTTTCTCTCTAGCTTTTCTGTTCTCTGCCCTGTGCCACTTCTGTCATGTGCCTGGTGGGGTTTGTTTATCCCTGTGGCCTGGGAAAACTTATAAGGTTCCCAGTAGAAGTCCATGAGCCAGGAGAGTGGCTCCTAGCATTTGTGCTGTGAAATTGTTTTGTGTTGGGAGCTGGATGGGGGATTGTAGAGTTGCCCTGCCCATCTGCAGGACACTATCTAACCATGGAAGTGTCCCTTTCTCTCAGCTGGGTGTTGGTTTTGCCTTTTATCTAGACCTACCGGGATCTAAAGGATCGTATCCAGCTGACAGCATATAAATGCAAGGTGGAGCGGGGCTCTGCAGAAGAAGAGAAGATACACAGCATTCTCAGCAATGTGGTATGAAATGCTTACTCTTTCTTCCAGACACTCTTACCAGAAACAGATAGAGGTTAGGTGTAGGGGCATGGCTGTCCTACATACTTTGTCTTTGCTGGGAAGCAAGTCTTTTGTTTGGTATTGTATTTGGGGTAGGAGTGAATGGTTATACTGATAGAAATGGCACGCTCTGGCCATAGCTGTGCTTGTCAGGGATTGGGAGTCACTAAGTTGACCCCTAGGACTCTGTGTTCAGCATTGCTGTTAGTGATGTCTTATTCTCTCTGTTAGCAAATCCGGTGGAAGAACTGAACACCTGTGAAACAGCTTGTTTGGCTGTCACCATGTCACTGAAAGAGAGAACAGCAAAACCCAGTCCAGTGCCAACAGAGGAGCTCCGTTACTACTCATTGCATGATCAACGCTCATTGATGACAGTGGGTGCCCGTGGCTTGTGGGACCGTGACGTTCAGGCTGCTTGAAGACAGCTACTAAAATGTAGCTGGTGAAACCGTGGTACTGATCCATCAGGGTTGATTCTTTCTGGAATCTTTGATGTGGCTGTAAGCCAGGCATCTCTTGTGTGTGTGGAGGGAAGTTGCTGGGCACAGCAAGATGAATGTTTGCTCTGGGTGGTGCCTGGGCTTATTCTTGCAAGAGGAGCGTGTCAGTCACTCTGGAGTCTTGCCACCAGACAGTGCTGACCAGTCCCTGTAACAGTCAAGCTGGCTTGTGCATCACTAATCATGGTTGTGGCTGGAGTAAAACCTACCTGGACCATGTTCTTCCTGTGTGAAAGTGTTGGGGGAAAGGACCAGGACCAGTTGGACTTTTTTTTTTTTTTTCCTGTTTGTTCTGGCTCACACTAGGAAAAGAGGTGTGTGAACTCCTGGAGAGCCAGGACAGCAACCTCTGCCAGTAAGTATCCTTCTGCTAGCACTCCACAGCATTTGGAAGATCCCTTTACCAGGAAAAGACGTAGTGTGGAGGTGGTCAGAGGCCTTATGGGTTGGATGGAGAGCAAGCAGGGACCTCTCTCAGTTGACACAAACCTGCTGGCCCCAGCAGCTATTTTCTCAGAAAGTGTTATGCCAGGAAGGATTGAAATGCACTTTCTTAGAAACATAACTCCTCAGGCAGCTGCTGGCTTCATCCTTTCAGACCTCACTTCAATTCTGTAAATAAAGCTGTCTCTTTCTCCTTGGGCTGTTTCCTTCCTTCCCCCACTAAGCATATTCTCACTCTTGTGTGTTAATCCTGAGCAATTTATCACCTCCCACAAAATGAGTTGCAGGATGTTTTTTAATGTTATGAAAAGCACAGTGCATGTCACCATGGAGTGACATTGCTTGCAGCAATACCTTATTTCACACCTTCAGTGCCATCATCACAGATGAATTAATTTTGGAGAGTTTGTAGGAGTTTGCTGCCACAGGGGGTCACACGAACACAAGATTTGGATTCTAGCCTCCCTGCTGCACTGTGAACTTTTTTTTTTTTTTTTTTTGGTGTCTTTTTTCTTATGGAACCATTTGGGTTGGAATGGACCTCTTTATCATCTAGTCCACTCCTGCTTTATCAGGATCACCTGGAACAGGCAGACCAGGACTGTGGCTATTGTGGGTTTTCAGTATCATCACAGCTGGAGATGACTCAGCTTCTCTGGGAAACCTGTTCTGATTCTGGCAACACTCACGGTAAAAGGTGGGTTTGTTCCTTCAGATGGACCAGCACATTTCAGTTTGTGCCCAGTACCCCTTGTCATCACTGGGCACCACTGAAGAGAGTCTGGGTCCTGTTCTTCACTCCCTTTGGACAAAGTGATAAGGTTGCCCTTGATCTAGAACCATTTTAGGTGAGGGATGCTAAAATTAATAGTAACAAGTCTAATACAGCTTGTATTTTATGTTGCTCATACTAACTAAGTAAATAGAAGTCCTTCGCAGGCTGCATAAATTTAGATAAGACAAATGGGGAGAATGGTCCTCCAGGGAGATGTTTGGAATAAAATCTTTCTAATCATCTCAGGGAAGAAATGAAACAGGGCTTTTTATAGATCTCAAAAACTAACCAGATCCCAAGGCTCAGCTGTTTCAGCTAAAGACTTTAAATCACCCTGCAAGGACTGGGCCAGGCAGCTAATCTCTTTGCATGTTTATTCCTTCATGTCACCTGCTGCTACCCTTTGCTTTGTAAGAACAGTGATGGGCAGCCACCAAAATCCCTCTGTGGCACTTTGGGCAGGCAGGCAGTGCTAATAGTCTAGTAGCAGTGGTTTGTATCACCTGCATGTGGCAGAGCACAGGTAATTCTGTTCCAGTGCCTAGAGGTGCTGGTTGGTCAGCTCTGCTGTCTCCTGGACTTCTGAGTCCCTTTGTCCTTGCTTAGTGCAGTAGCCCTGCAGAAGCAGAGCTTTACATGCTTTTATAACAATGCTCAGCTGGTGGCCTGGAGGATATTGTGTTCTGCTGCTGCCTCCTGTCACACATGCTGTCCATCTGCTGTCATTTGTCCTGTCACTGTGTACAGCCTTGACACCTCCATCCCTCCCCTCTAGAAAAATGGACCATGTCATTTCAGAACCTGGAACTGACACCAAACTCAGGAAGAAATTAAACTCTCAGACCCTATCTTTGAGATGTCAGTGAGTTGCATTACTTTATTCTGGCCAGCATGTGCAGTGAAAATCATTCCAGCTGCACATGTCCTGTACAAGACTTTTCACATATTTATACATTTATTGCAAACAATTTTTGAGCAAACGAGCTTTATGTCATTGGTATCCCTATGTCAGTTTTTTTTTTTTTATGCTGGCAGACTTAACACATAACTCATTCTTCTTAACACATACATAAAATATTCACATACTGCATTGAACTCATACAACTCCCTTCGAGTTAAAAGAACTCAAAGTATCTGAGCAAACTCCACTATAAAAGCCACTAATTTACTAACTTACATATGGCCTAAAAAAACTTCACAGTGCACCTTTCACCATACAGTGTCACAACAGGATTTACTGCAGGATTCACTGCAGGACTCAAACCTGCAATTTCTGCAACTAAGCAATGACCTCAGCTTTCCTGAATGCTGCCTCATCTGTGCAAAAACCTTCCTGCCCAGGTTTGTGTGCAAGAGTTTTGTCAGGAAAGATTTTGCCCCTTTGATTACTCAGGAGGAGAAGTAGACAGTTGAATGCTGAAGTACTGCTTGTCTCTGCTTTGCAACTTGCCTCATCTCACATAGAACATGGGCTACCTTGTTGGGTTGAAGGTGCTGAACTCTGTGTTATCCTTAGGACATCTCTGCCCCAGGAACTGCTTTAGATGATGTATTAGCAACAGAAAACCTGGACTGAGTTATTTTGTCCCCAGATCCTACTTACCATGGTTGTCTGAGGCAACTGATCAAGACTAGGGCAGTGGATGCAAAAGAAAAATTCCTATGGGAATATCTAGAGAGGACAGATTTTAGGGGTGATGATCTTACGACAGTTCACTAACTGGACCATTGAGGATGTTAAGTCAGGGGAACACTGCTTGAGGGAAAAGATTCCTGCTTTTTCAGGATTCTTTTAGAACCATTAGTCTCAGTTTTACTTCATGTGACAGAGTGATGCCTGGAACATTTTACATTGAAGTCTCTGAGTCTGATGGTTTCTCAAAGACCCATGAGTCTTGTAGTCAGACACTGAAGAAAACCACTTTTTGTTACATTTTTAGTAAGCTGCTTTAAACTGTTGTTGCCAGCAAAGGTTTCCACTTGTTTTCCCTTCCCAGAACCTTCCCCTGGTTTGATTTGACAGCTGTGCCACTGAGAAAGTCTCTCTTTAGCCAGCTGCTAGAAAAGAGAGCTTGTCTGGTGCCATCTGATGCCTGGTCCTCTACTGTACCAGCCACCTTCTGGAGACTGTCCTATAAAGCAACGTGGGCTGGTCAGCACCAAGACATCTCTCACTTCAGGTGTAGTGGAGCCTAGTGTGATACTGGATGACAAGTCTCCGTTCTCCACAGCTGCTTCCAATGGTTTCTCAGAAATCCCACAGGAAAATGCTGAGTATGATTCTAAATCTTCATAAACCATAATGAGCCTATGAGGAATGCTTTGTTGAGTTCTCAAGTTCTCATCCCAGCCCCTTCATGGGATTAAGCCATGCAAAAACCAGCACTGTTGAATCTCAGATTCTTTAAACTATTCCAGCCAATAACCCTATGTACACATTTTCTTCTATTTCAAACTTGCTTATCCCTGGTTGCCTGCGCTTTTCTATTGTTTGGGGTTTTTTTGTCTGAATTTGCTTAATACATAGTCTTGCCCTATGAACTGCTTCAGTTTCATTTGGTTTCTACTGCCGCTTCAATACAAAACTGAATTACAAAACCAAATTACAGTTATTGTAATAACCAGTAGTGGCTCCAGCTTTGGTTTAAACAAACTAAAACAGGATCAGATCCAGTCTTTTTTTGTTGTATTTTTTTATTCCCCATGGGGGATCTTGAGAAAGCCATTGTATCCTGACAACATACTAGTGATTTAGTCAGGAGTGCTCTTTCTGTTGAGCCAGGCTTTCATCAGCACTTCCTTCTACTTCCTTGCTGGTGATAATGCATTCCACCCTCACCACCACAGACTATATGATATGTCCTTCAAGAAAAAAAAGGAGGTAACTGGATTCTCTGTCCAAATCCACCTGGGACAAAGCAATTCTTATTCCCTAAATTCTCTAGTTTACTGTTCTTTTGTACTTTCTGCCACCACCTTTCGTGTTTCAGTACTGTTTACCATGATAAAACGCTGCCTGCCTTGTTTTGCTTCACAGGAAACAATTTCTTTGGTGAGGCCAAAGATTAGTTATGCATGTTGCACTTAGACCCCTCACTTAATTATGATTGCTGACAGCAGCTGTTGCCACACAGTTATTACCACAGTTAATACCAGTTATTGTATATGCAATTTATTTTACAACTGGTATTAGAGCAAGCCCAGTCTGTAGACACTGAAGCCTGGGAGAAATCTATTCACTTGAGCATCTGGGAAGTTCTTATCAATCACTTGTGCCTAAAATATGTCAATGATTGTTTTTTGGTCTTTTTTAATCAACTGTGACACAGAAGTGAAAGACAGACAATGGTAGAGTCTGATCTACAACCTCCACTTCACTTAGTTCCTGTAAGCAAATGAAGAATTGCAGAAAAGAGACAATGTGAGAATGGGTTTGATGTAATAAAATGTCTAAGAGTTGCAGTGGCAGTGCAGTGCATAATTTTCTGTAATTGTGAAAAGGTGGAATGGTACATCCTTGAACAATCTGCAAGGTAATAAGGGTACAGTCTGCTGCGGCTGTTGAGCTTCTTATGAAAGCAAAAGTGCAGCATAAGTCTCTAATTCTGCCTCTGCATGTCCTGTGATGCAGGGAGAGTAACCACTCCCATCATGGTCTGGGATCCTTGAAAAGAAGGAACAGTAGTATAGGGCTCCAGTCCTGCTTTTTGGATAAACTGTGAAAAAGTGAGGGCATCTGCTTTCTCTCCTGTTGGTGCCTTTCTCTCTAGGAAGAGACCCATACTGTCTCTGTACGGGAGGGCAATGGATCTGCTGAAGAGAGGCTCCTCAATCCCCAGCAACTCTCGCACGTGTCGTGAAATTTCCTGAAATACAAGATGAAACACCAGAAATTCTTATTTCTCAAACCAAGACAACAGGGCAGCATCTAAAACCATTCCATATCAGAGCAGCAGGAAATGTGATATTCTGAATTTTGGTACAGTTTCATGCTTGAAGTTGCAACATAAGGGGGATCTGAATCCATAAGCCTCGTGTGACGTGTAAAAGCAGTGCATATCGCCTTCTCTCCAGATTTACTATCAGTGATGGCATCATATTTGATCTCTTAATGGCATACATATTGCTCTGCTTTCATCCTTACACTTCAAGTTATGGGTGAATGAACTGCAGTCTCTTCTGCTTAATGCAAAATCATCGCTGTTTGTTAAATTATAATGTGAATGACAATCTACACAAAGGTGTAAAAATAATTAGCAAAAAGTCATATTGTTAATTTAGAAAATGTATGGTTGTCTGAACCAGCTGGATCTGGAACTGTGAGTGAGCAGAGCCTTACCATTGTTTTTGAAGTAACTTCTGAGAATTTATCTAATTTGATTAAATATGAAAATACAATTTGCAAGGTTTTGCTGATCTCTCATAGTATTTGCTCAAAACTTTCCCCCCAACTTTAGCTTGACTCTGAAAAGTAGTACCCTATTTTTTGTGATAACAAAAGAACACCAGACTTGTATCTTGAGTGGTTTTGATATTTAAAATACCAGCACAGTGGGATTAAAACCAGCAGTAATGTCACTTGTCCACACTGCATACCTTCCACATAATTAGCTGTAATTCTCTACCAAACTGCCATTTCCCCTAAACTGAAAGCAGTTTCCTTCTTGCTGAGCTGATGCTATCACTCTTATTTCTATAGTAACTGTATCAGCCTTTCATTTATATTTCTTGTTGGGAAATTGTGGGTTTAACTTTTCACCTGCTCTAGTAGACATTTCCTGAAAGACCCAAAGGGCCACATCCTGCAGAGCTCTGCATACTTGGATTCTGTCAGAATAAAGTTCTTTAAAACACAAATAACTGCCAGGATAGGACATGACCTTTGAGAATATCTAGGTTCCACTGAAGTCTGTGAGATGTTCCCAATTTACTTGCAAGCTTTGGAAAACATTACTGAGACAGTCTCACATCCAAGCTTGCCTGTCTATCGCTTATCTAAAGGAATTTCAGTTCCTACAAGAGGAAGAACGGCTTACAGTTGGTATGTCTAACCCACGGCCTGGTATTACTCAGCAGTTGAACTAACACCATACCTAATCCTTATATTCCAGTACTAGGGGGAGGCTTACAAAGCCTATAAAATTCTTTTACTTTTGGAAAGCACTAATGACTGCAGTCTCTATCTGCTTGTGGAAAAATATTTGCGGAGGTTTGCTGTCTGAAAAATTTAGTGTTAAATTGATGCCTTTCTCTCAACAGGCAAAGTCGTGGCACTAGTTAATGTTTTTGGTAGCTTAAGTTTCAAACAAACAATTAAGATTGTGCAACCAGACAGGACTGTGGTGAAATTCCATTTTGGTACTGTAGAATAAAATAGTGCTAATACTCTAGTCACTGGAGCATAATGCTTCTTCTGTCTTCTGGGTTTGAACTTCTGCCTGTGTTTTCTGGTGAAAGCAACCTCGAGCTGTGATGCAAAACATGATTTGGCTCTGTAAATGCAGTCCCTCTGTGGTTTCCACTAAGGGAGGGAAAGAGGGTAGCGAAATTTAAGTTAACTTGTTGATTTTTTTAACTTTTAGGAAGCCTTGGAAGACCAGAGTGTAGCCCTGAAATTCAGCCTTAACTATCAGTGTTTGTTAAAGAAAATATTTAGGGTTGAAAGGAAAAAGACCAATTACATGATCATAATGTGAGGAAGAGACAGAGTTCCTGTTTGCTTTTCTGTAAGTAAAGTGTAAAAGAAGGAAATAAAAATGAGTGGCCCTTTTTGCTGCTTGAGATCAGTGTCTCAATTGCTGCAGGTTAAATCTAACTAGGTTTTCTACAAAGTTCTACAAATCAGTAAGTGGAAAATGATTTAAAAATTTTTCTGAGCGTGTGGTGCTCACATCTTGCTAAGCAATTTTATGGGGCCAGAGGGCAACATACACTTAAAGAAAGGCTAAGCACTTATGGTGCCCCAGAGAAGAAGCCCTAAATCTGCAGCCAGCTAAAGACCTGAACAGACCTGTACTCTAAAACTATGACTGTACAAATTCGGTTGTCCAGTTTCAGGCTCACTCCGAAGTGGCGCTCTGCCCACAGCCCAGCCCGCCTGCCAGCAGGCAGGGCCAGCCCAGGGGCTGAGGGGGCTGAGGGAGCTCCGGGAGCCGCAGCCGGGCGCACCTGCATGTGGCCGAAGTCCGTGACGCCCATGGCGGGCAGGTTGGAGCAGTTCACGTGGATGAGGCGCCGGCCGGTGATGCCGTTGGCCCTGAAGCATTCCTGGGCAGGGAAGCGGAGGGAAAGGCGGATCGCCATCTGCCACTACCGCCCCTCTGCCGCTCACACACGCACACGCTCACATACACACACACACACACCGGGTTCAGGCCCGAACCTCGTACTGGGGGAAGCCGAGCTGCGCCACCCACTCAGCCACTTCCTCGGCGCTCCAGGCCAAGAAGGGGCAGAAGGACCGCGGTCCCCCCGCGCCCTCGGGCTCAGGCTGCGGCTCTTCAGCCACTCCAGGCCTCGCGGGACCCGGGCGCGGCTCCATTCCCACATCCCCAGGCCACCGCGGCAACGCGTCTGTCGGGGAACCCGTTACCTTGGCAACCAGCAGTTCCTGGTGGTGCTCCCCCTTCTCCCTTCCGCCACTCCCTCCCTGCTGTCAGCCTGCAACGCCGTCCGCGCCCCGCGGCTCTGCAGAACTAAATGTTGATTGGCTGCGTTGTCGAGGGGGGAGGCTGAGGGATGAGCACCGCGGCGCCACCACCTCCCTGCGGCCCGGCTCGCACGCACTCGCTCGGGAGTTTCCGTCCCCCCAGCTCGGG